CAAGACTATCTGTTAGATTCTATTTAAAAATGTACATTCCTGCGTTGTAATCTGTATCATCGTAATTGACAATTTAATTTTGTTTTCGATGTACAATTTACTATCCACGTATCTTGCCATCAGACCAGGTATTTATGTCGTCAGTCAGTCGACAGCCGTCCTTATTACGTCCGTCAGTTATTATTTACTGTATAGTACATACGCGCTACGACTAGCCAACATGAATTTTTTTAATTTGCCATCTTCAGAAAAGGAAACTGTGCAATTTCTTCAAGAACGCGGAGTGTTGCCAAGTGTACGAATTTGTCAAAACAATCACTTGGCAAAGTTATATTTTGGAAAAATGTAATGTTAAGAATGTTGAGATAACACGGTTGATGATAATAGGTAGTCTTGGAAATATTTTGGTAGTCGTTATAACATGGTTGTGCACCCAAGGTAGTCGAGATAACGCGTAAGTACCGTTTAATTAAATAAGTATACTTGTCAACAGATTAAATTTGGGGATAATTTTTAAATTATAGACTATAGACTATAGTTTTGATGTTATACATTATATTGATAAACCAAATAAATATACAATTTAACAATACACATTTTTATGATATAGAAGCAGTGCAACTGAACCAAAAATATTTATTTATGACGGAAAAGGAGTAAATATACCACTTCATGTAATAGAAAAAATTCATACCAAACCAATTGTATTTGTTAAGGTAAAAATATAATTTTAAAAGTAATTTGTAATTGTTTTTCTTAGCTTGTGGCTTATTAAATAAGTTATTATTATACATCTAAACATTTGAATTAAATTTTAAATTTTAACTGTTTCAGTATAATTTTGTGTTTGATGTGGCTATATCAGCAGATAAGAGTGGCATTATTGAATATTGGTCTGGAGCTAAAACAGATTATAAATTTCCAAAGTGTGTGCAATTTGATTCTAAGCTTGATACTGATCTCTTTGAATTTGTCAGACATAAAACACATCCAACTAGTTTATGTTTTTCAGATGATGGCTTAAAATTTGCTACTATGTCTCCAGATAGAAAGGTAAAATACTTAATAAAATATATATTTAATTACATTAACAATACCTAGATAAATACTATATACATTATCTTATTGATTTTTATTATACATTTTTTATACTTAAAGTTTGACTTTCAAGATTTGTTTTAAAATTTAATTACTGTAAAAAATTGTTTTATTTGTACCAAATGTTAGTGATAATTGAATGCATATTTATGTTTTGCATCTTATTAAAATGCTATATTTTCATGAAATGGACCATTTCATTATGGCTATAATTCATATATTAATGTACCAAGTTAATGAAGTTAAGTTATTGAAGTTATTTAATGAAGACTAGGTCTATATAGTAGAATTGAAGTCACTATTACTACTGTGAGTTTGAAGTGAGGCTTCTAATTAAAGGATAGCTTCCCTATGGTCTGGCTATCCTTGGCTATACTCCCTGTGTTATATATGCTGTGATATTGATTTGTTCTAAAATATATTGACCAAGTCAACTCGTTTTTAAATTAATAAACTTGTATATTATGTATTTGTGGTTATTGCTATGTATAATAAGTTATTTAATCGTTATTCTTATTTTGCAGGTTAGAGTTTTTAACTTGTTAACTGGAAAACTAAGTAGGGTATATGATGAATCTTTGGCACGTTTTAGTGAACTTCAGCAAAAAAAACAACAAATTCCCAATATTGAATTTATTCGAAGGTAAACTTTTTAGTCTATTAATTTAAGATTCTGTATTCAAGTAATCAATATTATTAATTATCGTATTTCAGAATGGCAATGGAACGAGAGTTGGACAAAACAGAAATCTCCCACACAGCAAATTTATGTTTTGATGAAAGCGGGCATTATTTATTTTATCCAACTATGTTAGGTGTAAAAGTTGTGAACATATTTAATAATACATTGGTTAAAATTATTGGAAAACCCGAGAACTTAAGAGCATTGAGAGTCGCCTTATTTCAAGTCAGTACACTGCGTAAGATGTGCGTTTCATTCTGAAAATATGATTTTATAAATTTTAATTCCATACACGTCCATAGGGTAAAGCTAAAAAACCAAAAGCTGCGGTAACATTAGAGATGGAAGCAGCAACAAATCCTACATTGGAATCTTCTTCAAGTGATCCTACACTATTTTGTACAGCATATAAAAAGAATAGATTTTATATGTTTACCAAGTAAGTTTTTTTTTCTTGTATGTATAGATCTGAGTATTTTTTAATGTTGCCAAAATTTAGGTAATATGGATAACTATTAAAAAAAGTTGCTCATAATTTTAGCACTCATAATAGATTATTTTTTTTTATTAATAAATTACCCTTTTTTTGTTTGGCAGGCGAGAACCTGAAGATATTAAAAGTATTGATGCTGATCGTGATGTATTTAATGAAAGACCTTCAAAAGATGATATTATATCTAATACTGAAGCTGCATGTGAGTTAAATAAATTGTATTAATTTTATTTTTTGGTTCTTGTATGAAATGTCCAATGGAACACTCATAATGTAATGTTTTGGATATTGCTATGAACTTAATGCTCTATAATACCATTTAAATAGCATTTGTAAATAACAAAATGCTGACAGAAAATATTTAAAAAATGCAAACTGAATTTTGTGTTACATAAGCTAAATTTAACAATAAACTAATAGATGCATTTTTCTACAAAAAGTCCTACATACTAAAATTATACAAAAACATTTTTCTTTGAAAAATAGAATAAAATTTGAAAAGGAAATCAATATCTATTATGAATGTAATATACTAATATTCAGTATTCCAATATGTCTTACATTGAGTGGTCATTTGTCTTTGCCTTTTTAATTGGAAAACTAAAATATTATAATCGTTTAAATTTGTTTATTTAGGTATTCAACGATTATACGATACAGCTACTTTGCATACTGTTTTTGGCGATATTCAAGTAGCACTGTTTAAAGAGTGCCAAAAAACAGTCGAGAATTTTTGTGTACATAGCAAAAATGGATATTACAATGGCAACATATTTCATAGGGTTATCAAAGGATTTATGATACAAACTGGAGATCCTACAGGTATACAATGGATGTTTAATTTGACATTTCAATACAGCACTATTAACATTTTTAAAACCATTTTAGGCACTGGATTAGGCGGGGAAAGCATTTGGGGTGGTGAGTTCGAAGATGAAATTCGTTCGCACTTAAAACATGACCGACCTTATACATTAAGCATGGCTAATGCAGGACCGAATACTAATGGTAGCCAATTTTTTATCACACTTATACCTACAGTGAGTTATAATTTTAATATTAATTTATATAATACTTGTTTTATATTTATATTGTATTTAAATTATTGTTTGTTTTGTTTTTAGCCTTGGTTGGATAATAAACACACTGTATTTGGACGAGTCACCAAAGGAATGGAAGTAGTACAAACAATTTGCAGTGCAAAAACTCACCCTAAAACCGATAAGCCACACGATGATGTTCAGATAATTAATATCAGTTTGAAATAAATCAGTAATGCTTGTTATATATATATTTTTAAATGACTACTCCATTTTGTATTTAAAATACATCTACAAAAAAATATCCATGTTTTACATGAATTATTCTGAATAACAAATTAAAATCTATTCAGTGTTTTTTTTATCTTAAATAGATTATGTTACCATTTTTCCTAACCTACTATTAGGTTTGATCCTACAAAATTGTCACATTACTTATTGGTCAGATAACAAGACTATTAAGCTCTCCTATTACGGTTGTCATGGTCGTTGTAATTATTTATTTTGTTATGTACATCACTTCAGTATTATTGTGGTTTTTACCATTTTAAATCAGTGGGGCACTACCCCCCCCCCCTGTAATGTCTTCCTTCATGAATATATCAGAACAAAATGTCTTCTCTAATATCATTAGTATAAACTATAAGTGTGTTAAAAATTACTATTAGCACAACCCACTTTGAAAAAAAATCTTGTTTGCACTTCTATCTTAAATTATATGCGCAACAATTAAATTATATCGTAATAGTTATTAAGTGAATTTCATTCAAATAAAATGTCAAACTTTAAAAAAAATAATGATTTGTTAGTTGTTACCACACTGCTAATAACATTACAATAAATATGACAATGATGTGAACAATTATTTAAGAAATGAAAGAGGAAAAGTTTATGAAGTATTACAATGTACAATAAAAAATGATGCCAAACTACTCTGTCTATAAGAATAGACAACTGATTTTTCACATTTGTAGACATCAATAGCAGTAATAATGGTGGATAAGCATGTTTTTGGTCTGAAGATTTTTTAATCACCATAAATTTAGCAATTTAGTTGTTTTTACATATATTTCAAAAGAAATGGATATTTTTTTAATTAAATAAAAACATGAACTTAGGATGATTTAATTTTTGATGCTGACAGTTGATAGAAGACATTCCAAACCACTTGATTGGTTGTGGCCTACAGGGTAGGGGGTTCAAACTTCAAACGCTCCCCATGGATACTTAACAAGTATATATGTACTTACTACTTACATAAAATTAAAATCTTAATTCATAATATATATATTGATTATATTATATTTAAAAAAATTGAATCTCCCCAGTCCATTCAAAATGACAGAGCATGCATCAAGTAATGTTACTCTGGTGGAAGAACTCGTACAAAACAGTTGTAGATTCAATAGTTTTGTCATAAAAAGTAATGTCAATTGCTTAGTTTAAAATTTCAGTTGTTTCGTTGTTTTTTTAGTCTACTTAAGAACAATTTGTAAAATACTATAATAAATACCATGGTACTTTATTATGATTAAACAATTTTAGTAAAATAAATATATAATATACATATTAAAAAAAAAACAGGTTTAAAATGTCTAAACAGAATAAAAATGCTACTAAAATATGAATAAATATTATTTTTAAAATTCATATTAATATTGAAATAAATATCTTTGAATGCTGATGATCAGAAACAAATTTACAATATATTAAAATAAATACACAAAAAAAAAGAAAATTAATAATATATTATAGCAGTAAACTTAATGTGTTTAGCTGCTTTTACTCCATCGGCACATTATCAGCTTCAGCAGGTACATTTTCATTGCCATCAGAATCTTCTACTTGTGCCTTCTTTTCGTATATTACTTCGGTCGATCGAACCACTCCTGCCTCCAAATCTAACCAACGACCTTTCACTGCATTTTTGGCTGGCGGAGACCACCAGTTAACTATGTTCCCAAAAACTGGTACATGTCGTAAAATACCTTCTTGCCATATTTTTTCTTCGGTTTCTTTTTTTAAGTCTACAGTCGCAGTCTCTATGCCTAAAAAGAAAGATAAAAATGTTTGTATACAAGATTTGGTGATTACCAATATTTGATATTTTCATACCTTTTTTCACGAGTTCAGCCATTGAATCAATGTATTTGGTAGACTCTTCTTCTTTACACCCGGTACTTTGAACTAAAGATAATAATTCTGCTACATCTGTGTCAGCCGTCACCATACCAAAACGAACACAAGCTAATCCATCACTTCCTTCACCTGAGTATACAAACCAATAGGTTCAAAATAAAATAGTCGCATGACATTTATTTACAAGCTGACTTACCAAACGAAAATGCAGCATCAATCGAACGAAGCTGCTGCACAATACGTACATTTAGTCTATTTAAATCTTGTTTTGCCTGATCGGTGGCCAATTGTTGTTCAGACGATCGCCACTGTTGTGGCACGTACCGTACAGCACCAAGTCCTGCCCAGTCATCGATTTCGACATATTCAAGTGACGGTAGATTGGCTATTAGTCCCGTCAGTTTTTCTTTATAATCAACTGTTGCCAGCAAAATTTCCTATAAAAAATAAAAAAAAAATAAAATGAAACAAGTAACTTATGTTTTGATTGTTATTTTGATTATAGATGGGTATTAACATATACTAACAATGTGTTGATCCAAACATATGCTAAACGTTTCCCAATCATCTTCAGTTACTAGTGAATTTAAAACAGTAAAAGGTGAAAAGGTTACTACGACACCAAGGGTCTCAATTTCACACAATTCTAAAGGTGCTTCTGGAATTTCTCGCTCTAGCACTTGGCCTAACTGAAACAATAAATGAATATGCCAACACAACTCCTGAGTATGTAGAAATATTTCTTACCCAAGAATTTAGTTTATCGTAATAAGGAGAAACTCTTTGGTTACAGTCTTTTGGTACAAATTGGATGACAAGACAACTCGATAGATTGTGTAATAGATCCTAGTTGTAAAAAATAACTAATATTAATACATTTCGTATGAATAAGCACAAGAAATAATTATATCAACTAAACTGGAATATTCTCTCGGTTGGCAATAATATCAGCAACTGTTTCCTCATTAGATGACTCATTGTTTTGGTTATTAGTTTCACACTGAATAAAAAAAAAACAACATTATTTGTTGTTATTAAATAAAAATTGATATTATTACCAAAATTCTCAGACAGTCATAACGTTTAACCAAACTATGTATGCGTTGGCAAATTTCAAATTTTTGTTGTATCCTTAGTACCAGCGCATCATGTCCTAAAGCCTGAAAAAAAATACTTGTCTTAGTGTTTTAAAATCAATAAATAAAAAAGTACTCGACTATTAATACTAACTTGAAAACATGTCCAAATAGGTAAACATTTACTCTTGTAAATATTCAATATTTCTGTACTTGTATATTGTTTATCAAATAAAGTCTAACAACTATTTTTAAGAAAAATCAGTTAAAATATGTCCATGTATAAAAAAAGTTATCGTATTGCATTAAAAACTCAATAAAGTAACAGAAAATAGAGAATTTTTCATTACTTTACTACTTATATTATAATTATATTAATTATAATTTACAGTAGCACAGACATTGAATAATTGAATCATATAATTATAATTATTTCCATCTTTAAAAGGATACGATAACAGGCAGTGCAGAAATATTCAACCAAATGCTTGGAGTTAATGTCATACTATCAGCTAGATTAGAATTCTAAAAATGAAAAAATAATCAGTGAATAAAAAATCTTAATAGTATTGAGGTTATAATTATTTAAAATACTTTAGTTTTAAATGTTGCCAAAGCCAGTCCTGATAAATTGTCACCGGATAAGTGCAACCAAATATTGTGTTTACTGCATAGTTCTTTTAAGTTTACAATATCGTCCATCTGACCAGTAACATGTGCACCTGATATAAAAAATTATTATTAAGATTAGCGTAAGGCAAACATAGAACCTAATTTGTTACCTGCTCTTGCAAAAACAATAAGAGGTTTTCTGTGATTTTCAACATCAGTTGTGATGATAGTTTCTAACGCATCTAAGTCTGCTTTGTACGGGCACAGTACATTTGATAGAGATGGTATGATTTGTACACATTTTTCATTCATTCCAATCTATTATAATTCTATTATAAGTATTGAAATTGAAAAAAAAAGTACTAACTGTCAACTAATTTGTATTACTTGTAAAGCAGTTCTCTTTATTGTTCCAACCAATACTGGATCTGGTGTACAATATACTATTGGAAATTCTGATAGATTTAAGTATTCTGGACCGAACATGCGGTGCATAGCAAGCAGTAACACTCTTTCATAACTTAATAACATATTTTCTGTATAAAATGCTCCACAATTTGAAAATCTACATTTAAGATTAAATGATTATTTAAATATAAACGCTGTAAGCATTTAAAAAAAAGTATCAAGTGTCTTTATACTGACTGAAATAATTTTGATAACCACATTGTCGTGGACTTGTTGACCAAAGATAAAACGGGCACAGTCTGTTCATTGGGCAAACAGTGACTAATGTAATAGCTGAGGGAATATGACGTCAAACTGAATTTGTCCAGGTCTTGAAGAACAGGTAAGGCATTTTCTTCATAACCTTCTCCATTTTCCTTTTTGTTTTGACTTAACACCAGAGTCTATGACAATAACAATTTTTTTTAAATAAAGTTCACTACAGAAAATTAACATACCCAAAAAACATACTTGCAATGATGCCAGAATATCACAGAATGTCTTTGAACCCAAAGGCAGGGTATGGGATGTCAACTGGGTGTTTATTTGGTTGTTCTCTAGATTATCCAAAGTATAATTGAATTGATCACTTAAGTCCACAAAAGGAGAATGTTCAACCTTTAATATAAAAACAAAATATAACAATGAACTTTAACATAGATCAGTGGAGAGCGGCTACAGTGTAATTATTTTTATACAGTTGTGTAAGTCAGTTCTATAACATTGTTATGGTGGTCTTTGAAAATGCATAGGTAGTGATTCCTAAAGAACAAAGTAGGGCGTACACTATTTTTTACTAGTTGCTGTTCTGGCAGTGTTGGTAACATATATATTATATAATATGTCCACGGTGCAAATGAGAGACCAAAAGAGGAGCGAATCCATACAGGCCCAAGACAACTCTGTCGTAGGCTGACGGGCTAATTTCAAGTGGACTTACTTCATGATCAGGGACTTGGACTTCAGATTTCGTCTCGTTGACGGCGTCAGGTGATGACATGATGTCAGCGATGACCGGCTCTCTCGTTCAATCTTACAGATAACGTCAACAGCAACAGCAACGACTGCAGTAAAAACGAACAGAATAATATCGACGTGTCGTCGTCATGTGTGTGGGGCCCGTGATGATATTACACGTTGGTACGGTACGCGGTGAAATTAATACGCTCGTTATTTGAATAACAAATCAAACCAACGACAGTGTTAAGCACAACCGAAATGATTTATGTAGGACTGTGCATTGAACATTTAACATTTAACATACGTATAACATTATGATTTTACTTATTTCATGTAATATTACCTATATTAATAATATTGTTATCGTGAATTCAAAAGTGTTTGTGGTACGTATTGATATTGATAACGGTGTATTGATAACGTCGATCGTTATCTACACGCGTACGGGTCGCGGTCGTGGTATATGGTTATCGATGACACTGGTATAACTAGTTATCACGTTCCAATGTTAATATACCTCGGTAGCCAGGTAGGCGATATAATAAAAATTTATAATTTTAATTTACTGTATATTTTATTTTGAATTACGATCATAATAATTATTACGATTATGCGCCATACTGTGGTTGACGGGGAGATGGTGGCAAAAATATTGTCGGATTCGATTTTATTGTACTGAATAATGAAATGAATACTTATTAACTGTTCTACTGTTCGTGTGGATATTTCATCTATTCTGTAGTGTAGCTGGTGTATAGATTCAAGATTGGTAGATACGTTAATTGTCAAATTATTAAATATTAATTATTGCTGTTCGTGCCTTAAATAATTACACCAAAGCTTTGGATTTTATCACACACATTGTTTGAAAAAAATACAAAAACCTACTTGTCTACGAATATAGAATATATTATAATTTCCTATGATGTTATGGAAAATTTGTGTTTTAGAAAGAAATGGTTGTAATAATTCCTGTAACATATTATAATATTCACAAAAACTCTAACCATTAAAAAAATACCAAGTTAAAGTTGACAAAAAAAGTGTTATTTACTATAGGTATGGAAGGATTGCAATCGTATAATGGTCGCATTATATTTATATTTTCTTATGAATAAGTCATGATTACGTTTATAAATACTATATTTTGAACTTTGAATAGTTTTGAAGTAATGATGTAGACAATGTAGTCGATGATTATAATTTATATTTATTTATATAATATATACGGCTACACGCAGGGCCGTATTACCGCTTAGGCAGTGTAGGCTAAAGCCTAGGGCGGCAAATTTTTTTTGGTGTGAAAAACTACGTTGAGATATTAGTAAAATATCAATCCTATGTAAATTAGGCGGTAAATTTATTTCAGCCTATGGGCGGCAAAAACCTTAATCCTGCCCAGGCTACACGGCTACACTATTGGTGACTGCAAATGTTCCGTTTGCATTTATCATCAATTATATATCGATCTTTTTATGTAAAAAATACATTTTGAAAATAAACTTTAGATTTAGGTATTTAAACAATTAAACATCTCAGATGGTATCTCATGTATGTGTTTGAATACTTTATGATATATTGATATCATTATGTAATTAAGAATTCGCTAAGTATTCCGAATATTTTTTTAAACATTATATCTGTTAGGTAGTAAAGTACAAAACGTTTTCCTTGATATTTACATGATTCATTTTTTATATAGTTGAATTATTATAATCATTTTTGATAAAAGTTTAATTTATTTACAAATTATATTGGAATAGATATCTCTTTGTGTGTAATGATAATTGTTATTTTATTAAAATACCACATTGAAACATTACCTAATACAGTAATAAATTAGACAATTTAATATTTTATAAATTAGTGAAGAATACATAAAAGCACTCAAAAGTGATAAATTATATAAAATAATTAAAATTGTATACATTGTGTCAAAAATATAGCAGAGAAAATCATGATATGAACTGGTTTAGAAAATATAAAAATAATACTAAGATCTATTAATAAACGATAATTCGAGTAGTCAAAATGAGTTATTTCCTATTAGTGATTTAGCAAAGTATTAGTATAATAAACAAACCTTAATTTAAAATATAATGTCGAACATGAAAAATAAAAACAATTTTTTGTTGTTTTTTAGTTTACGAAACGTGCAATGATCTAAAGAACTGCTTCTATAATGATGTGAACAACTTTTGAATTAAACTGCATTTTCATTGTAATGTTCTGACATTGAAATACATTACATAGTTCAGAGAACACTTGATTCAAAATTTCAAACAATACAATATTTAAGCAGACAATGAGCAATTCGCTATTTTGGAAAGTATCTTTGTATCCATCTTCATCGAGGACACGACACGCATATATATGTTACGGTGAATGATGTAAACGTGGTAAATGCCGTCATTCCCCGGTTATTGTCGTCAATCCCCTGTTTAGTTGGAGAATGATGTTCAATACATTTTATTTCGGCGTTAACGATCATTGATAAACATATAGGTACGCGAATAAGCTTCACTAGTTAAAAATATTATGATGGAAGTAGATACCTACGAACAATTTTCAAAGCTCGAAGTTGGTACAACTGTTTGTGTCCCAATACCAGATGTTGATAGATCTTGAAGTTCTCTGCTTAATTTACTGGCTGTTATGATTTTATGTGAAGATGATATGTATAAATTATGTAAGCCAATTTTAACTTGATAATATTTATTTAATTTCAATTAAAATAAATACACGCATGTTTGAACCAGGTACAGAATACGGCGTGTTGAAACACAAATGTACACTATCACAAATTTCCCCGTGTAAAGAAAAATTCCTAGAACTAGATGAAGCCATGAAAAAAATTAGAGATAGGGAAATAACATTAAGTGAAGCCGCAGGGCAAGGAATAGCTGGCCATCAAAGCTTCAATCGATGCAACTGCAAAACTGGTTGTGGCACTAAAATTGTGCTTGCAATGCATCAAAAATGTTGCGCAGTTCAAAATGTCATGGTAATCAAAACGGTACCAATAAATAATTTTTAATAATTTTTGATATCGACCTATTTTATTCTTTTTTGTCAGTATTAAATTGTACCTACCTATGTTAAAAAATCAGTGTATTATTTGAGATTCCAGATCATAGTCCCCCCACGATCCTCAACAACGACACGATTCCCAAAACACAAGCCACCATTGCAGTTACCTAGGAGTGCACCTCGACAGTAAACTCACATGGGCATATCACATAAAAACAAAGAGGAAATCACTCAATTTAAAACTCCACAAAATGAAAAACCTTCTTAAATACAATCTCCCTCTCAACAAAAAACTCGTAATCTATAAACAAATTCTCCGCCCCTCAATGACTTACGGAATACAGCTATGGGGTACCTCCAAAATATCCAACATTCAACAATTCCAATCCTTCCATTCAATTTGCCTTCACCTCCTCACCAACGCCCCTCAGCAACCTCACCCACCACTCTGACCTCAAAATTTCAAACATTAATACCCTAGCCTCCCACTACTATAAATTATTTCACAATAACACAGTCAACCATCCTAATCCACTCGTTTCCAATCACTCCTCCCCCACTCTCCCCGATAACCCACCACGTCGTCTAAAGCGAAATTGGCCCAGGGACCTCCTCAATCAATAAAAAAAAAAAAAAATTAAATAAACATAAAAGTCTAGAATTGAAGTAGTGTTGTTTGGACACCCCCTTCCATCAAGCCGTCCAGTTTTGTAAATTTATTAACCGTATTACTTATTGTATAGTATAATACACATTGCATATTTTTTTTTCTTTTAATAAAAAAAAAAAATATTATTTGAGATTTATCATCATTTACCACCAGTTTTGGCAAATTACATCAATAGCCGGTGAAAAATGTACATTTGAGTTTAAAATGAGTTTTTTTACATAATTTACCTACATAATTGATTCATTTTGGTAAATGACATTATTCACCAATTTTTGTCTTTCACCGTAACATATATAAGACACAGATAGAAGTACGGAACCGATATAAAACCGATGAAATAGGTAAATTTATCGTATAACCTAACCACCTTTTGTATACAGTATATAAACCAGGGGTGGCGTAACCACAGCTTGCATCTGACAATTTTACTAATAAAAGTAATGGAAGTGTATACAAATATAGAACATTTTTTTGGATATTGAGTCTATTATTAGTATACAGATATAATTAGAAATATTTCGTGACTCGTTCCAGTTATCTAGTAAAAAAAACGATTAGTTTAATAACTAATAACAATCTTAAAAATAATTGGTTTATACTGAATTTGTACTATCTCGAATACTATACGATTTGTCGATTCCGAATTTCTGATCAGAACAGTTTAATCACAAAAAAGTTAAAGTAAATGTCAAGAAAACATTACGAAAATTAAATTATATAATAGGTATTTTTAAACATAAAATACATCAAATTGAATCAACCTTTAGGGCGTTCTGGAAATTTCTACAGTTATATCGCTCGGCGACCATACTTATATAATACATATAATATTCTTTATAGAAAGAATAAAATCAAACTATTTGAATGGTAGGGAACGACTTGACAGGAAAAACGATCACACCTCGTAGAATAGTTCAATTTTTATAAATTTTTTTTTATTTTCACTATGAAAACTTTATTCAGGTCACATAACTTTAAATACCACTGTAGAAAAATACGTTTCAAAATACTCAAACCTTTGTGATTACTTATTTAAACGTTTATTTCAATTTCTAAAAATGTTTTTATAATTATTGAAGTCCCGTACGATCTGTATTAAGCCTTCATCTTACAAATAAATCTGACTATTTCACGAGATAGCTATGAAAGACGAGAGTTATTCGTTAAGCGAGACAATGTTTTTGTACCTACTAAAAACGCGTCGAATCCGACACCCTTCAGTTGTTTTAGTATGCTATGCTCCTCTTTATAGTGGTGACTGGTGGTTATCCAATATCTCAAATGCATTAACTACTTATACTAATACTAATTCTAAGTATAATATATTTTCCATCTGAAGAAAAACTTGAGTACCTGGTGGTGGATATAGGTATTTCAAATACACATCATAGTAAATGGATATAATAGCCGCCACTACTACAAGCGTACAATATTATATAATTTAAGTAGCTACCATAATATATTATATTGTGTACTTACTGTAATACCACATCAGGACCTGTAGACATCTGATGTTGTATCTCAGAGTGATATTAGGAATACACGTTTACTACCGTAATTCATGTATTGTTCCAATTACCGGGGTTTATTACACCGTGTAGTAATGTACTAATGCAGTGTGTATCTTATTACTATTGCCTAAAATCGGGCTTCGCAATGTTCGGTA